ACGATGGATAATATCCAAGAAAATTTTTATTCAATTGACTCTTCACCATCGTCAAGAAGTTTTAGATTTGATATTATTACTTATATTTTCTGTGACGGTTTAAAAAGTGATAATCAAATAAATATGCTTTAATTGAATTGTTTGTACTTTGGATAAAACTTAAAATGTTGCTATGAAAATTCTCCCTGAGGATGAGAGCAGATATGGCTCTCGAAACGTTGGCAGAGGATATGGTTTATTCACCATTCAGCCACCTGACGCGGCATGTAGCCCGAGAGTCTTTCATAAACTTTCATCAGATTCAATTTATACAATAGAATTTTACGTTTACACACTTTGATCTGCTTCATAATACACAGTTGCACGCGATTTACTTATATAATTTTGTAAATTTACATATATGAACACTTTTGTTGCTTGTTTCTTGTGAAAACGTATGAAGAAGATTTTTTTTCATTGCATATCTGTAATTTTACAACGAACTTTGCATGTTATCATTAAAGTTTCCATGTGCTAATGTTTTGTGTTTTGTGTATTGTGTTTTGTGTGTGTGTGTTTCTGTCGACTCCTGCTAATTTGTTTGTGTTTTCGTTCTCTCTCATTCCAGTGTTGTCTTCCTCACTCATGCACACGCACGTTTACGCATCGCATCGCTTTCACGGCCGCACGCAACATTTTATCTTCCACGCAATGTGTGTGCAGCTTTACAGGACAGGAGTGCCATCTACCACCACCTGAATATAACATGGCGTTAGTCTAGTAGTTAAATTAGCAGACAGATGGAACCACCTGTAGACTACCAATAATAGTGACACAAAAAAACCGGAATTTAAATACGTAATTTATTGAAATAGGGGTTGAGAAGCCAGCATTAGGACACTTCGTGATCTTTACAGTGGAACCGTGCGATATTAAATGTTGTTTTATTGTGCGGCTGATTGGCGTTGTGCCAAAATATTTCAAACGTTTTCCCCGCCCTCACTTAATCCATTTTCAGAAACGCTGCAGATAAGAAATTGTATTTTTAATGTGAATAACGAAAATACTTTTTCTGTTACCGGAAAAGTTTTGGAGGCAGGTGGAGATTTTATTATTCGATTGTTGGCCAAAGTGGAACTAGACGTGGTAACGATATAAATGAAAACGAGTAATCGATTCTGGAGGGTTCTGACAGTAGTCTAACACAATCTGGGCTGTCCATTGTCTGATTTTATAAAACTAGATCTGTCCTCGTATTCAGGTACATTGAAAGGGGCACCTAATCTCTAGGTCTGTTCAGTATTTCACTGCCTTGAAGGGAAAATAATGAGCATGTTTGGTGACATAATGACGAAATCTATTCATAAGACAAAGATACTCGCCTATAATGAAATCTGAAGTCTTGTTACTGTATCAAAATAGACATAACCAGAAATCTGTGCTGAATCGCATGAACTTGCTACACACCTCATACCATATTTATGTATGATGCACTAACTATCTATGCTTAGGTTTAAAAATGACGTCTTCTTTTCAAGTCGTTATACTCGTATCTTTTCCATCGTTGCTACACGTCCTGCAACTTTCTGCTCCTTTGTTTTGATTACTGTGATAATGCTAGTCGAAAAGGACAAATTATTAATCTCCACTTAATGTAATTCTCTCCATATTCTTATTACTTCCTCTTAGGACAAAATATTTTACATGGCCGTTCAGAATGGGATGCTGAATGGCGTAAGAATGAATACGAAATTCACATGTACAAATTATTAATCTCCACTTATGTAATTCTCTCCATATTCTTGTTACTTCCTCTTAGGACAATATATTTTACATGGCCTTTCAGAATGGGATGCTGAATTGCGTAAGAATGAATACGAAATTCACATGTAAGATATTCCAATTTGACTTCAATCGGCAATGTTCCGTAACTGTTACCCTCTAGACAACTTCAAATGCCAACCAATTCTCTCAAATGTTCAGTTAAAAAATTCATACTGCATGAAAACATTCGTGGTGTCGTCTGCAAAGCTGTTACTACACAATACCTCGAGTAGTGTTTATTTTATGGCAAGCAAGAACATTATCTGTTGCCTACATTTAGGTGTATACGTTGTTTCCATAGATTTCACGAAATGAAGTCGTAAAACGTGTTCGTTTTGTATGCTTCATTGCCGGAACTGTTGAACCATTTCGACTAAATTCTGCAGCTAGCGTCTACACTACATGTTGACGAACGAATTTGAGTTTTGTCTTTATCTAGTCAACATGAACTCTACGTTATAGGAATTTCAAATATAATTTGTTTTCGTAAATTGTACTTATAATGTAATTAGCACATAAAATAAAGAAACAGATCGAATTAAAATCGACTACGATATTTTACAAACGTTTTCCAGACGATACAATTTTATCAAAGGCATCTGACGCTTTGAAGGCGAAGCTCGTCTAAATAATATTTAAGAATTCAGTCCGTGCCGCACAGAAAACACAACTCTTTACCAAATATCAGTTGGTTAACGCTGTTTAAGGATTATAATGAGGTTCGTACGAAACTCATAAATTCAAAATTAAGATTTATTTATTAATAACAGCAGCTGAAACATATATTTACCAGTCGGCTTTAATGATTATTTATATGTGCGATTATCTTTAAAATATTACAGTTGTATCCCAAATAAGTGGGCTAAGTGTCATGAGATACAGAGTTTACTAAATCACAAAGAAAGTGCAGTGTAATTTAGGGGGAAAATGTTACCTTACCGGAGGGTATCGGAAATTAGAAGATGACTTTCTTCTGGGTTGTTGCACCTTCATCATCAGGGCCATGTCACATCGCCCTGATGATGAAGGCAGCAGGGACCTCTGGAACGTTGGTAAACATCTACCAGACTACACGGCGTAACAACCCAGAAGACAGAAATCTTCATACTCACCACCGTGAAAACCTCAAATCCTGTATCGGAAATTAGATTTCTTGGTGGTGCTCTAATCTGATTGAGTAGAAAGACGATGGTAATGATGCATGAAAAGACGCCCTTTTACATCGAGCAGAAGTGGAATCAATACTGTGCAGTAATTATACACGCGCACGTTCCTTGATTGAAATTTGCAAAGTGTATAAAATATTTTTTGCCCGAGATATGCATTTCTTAAGTTTTTTTTTTTTTCCTTCTTCGCTTTTCGTAAACGACGGTGGAATTTCAGGAAAAAGTATATTTATTTAGCCCTTCATGATGACATATTTTAATGGTTTAAAATTGTTATTGGCCTATACAAACTTACTCAAGTATTATCAATTTGTTATTTGAGGGACCTTCTGGTACAGTGGATAAGAAGCCATTACGTCACGGATTTAGATATTATTTTGTATTGTTCAGGGCGCGCACACACACAATATATATATATATATATATATATACACATAAAACCATGTATTCAGGACGACATGTAAACACAAATAATTCTAGCAGTTTGAATATACAAACAGCATATATATAGCGCAAAAGAACGCGTAAGTTATTGATATTCTTTAGTCCACATTAAATTCTGCAAAGTCCTTCCTATTTTTACATATTTTTTAACGGTTAAATTGTTTTGAGTGTTATTCTTACGTTTTAACATTTGCTGTACTATAATAGATTCTAAAAATTAAACTTCCAAGCTTCAAGTTTCTTAGTTTTTATATCAGGAAATTGTGATTCTATGATGAAGGAGGAAACAAAAAAAATGTGATTTTAATCTTTATGCAGTTTTCATCATTCGCCTGTTATTCTTCCATCATTTTTGAACTCACAATCATAACATCCATGGCGGGACACAGGACAGTTGACTGTCGCTGCAGATTTTAACCTGCGTTTTACAAGAACAAAATGGAAGTGATTTGTTTCTCTGAGATGTTGGTAGCGCTACACGTCACGACTAAAAAAGATCACAAATGAACTCTATATAGAATTTTATCATGCTTTTTCGCAAGTCTGTTCGAGACGAATACGTGGACATTACCTTCAATTTAGCGGTCATTTACTCCTTTAAAATCTTCACATCTGCAGTTGTAACAACGCCATAAAATAACATAATAATAAGTCCGTCAGCAGTATTTTGAATTTTATTGGATGTTTATTTTGGGGAACTGACAATTGTGTTATTCCATTTACATTAACAGACTGTTCTATTGCCTAAAAAAGAGAAGTTTTGCTGTTAGAATTGGAAATCCATAGACTTTCCTCATAAACCTTTCACGTTATCGGACAAATCTACGACCTTGTAGCCTGTCCTAGTCCCGTTATGCCATAGCAGTAACATGGAATGTAAAGGTGAAAGTTGACTTCCCCGTACAAGAACATCACGCCACTGAGGACCATACGTTGCGTGGTGGTACAGCTCCATGAATTCTTAAATCGAATCTAAAAGGAGGTGAGCAATATTCCCAAGGAAGAGAATCCCTGGAGTTCACAGGATGGGATGCTGGGTGGGCCCTAGGGCTTTTATAAGATTCCATAGAAATAAATAGAAAATTCTCCCCCTTCTCTGAATCCAACAGTTGTCGTTACTTTATTGACAAAATTATTAAATATGCTATTGAAATTTTATTTAAGAAAATGGAAAATATATAAAATATAATTTCCTTATTAGTATTATTAGCGGCTTTGTCCACTTCGAACATTTTTGTACTATGTTGTAGAAGTCTTTTAAATGCCTGACGTCATGAGAGTGGGTCATTTACGATGGCGAAGCACAAACTTTTCTCACAATAACGAAGTTAGTGGAGGAGAGTCCTTGTTGAGAATTTGCCATTAGTTCAGCTTTTTTGATAAATTCTCGGAACTTCTCCGAAGTCAGACGCTCTATTATCAAGTTCATAACAGCTCACAACTGGATTCAACCTCAAGACACATGAATCCAGTAATCATCCTCACATCCCATTTATTTGATAACCATTTTAATACTATTATTCTATCTAAATGCAATTTTCTAAAGTGCTGACCCCCATTTAGGTTTTTGGACTATATACTTATGCATTTTCCATCTGTCTGTGCTTTCTACATCCCCATCTACGTATTTCTTAATTTTATCATCCTGATAGTGAACAATGCCTATCACACTGGCCGCGCGGTCTAGGGTGTGGATTTTGGCGCCTGGAATACTGGGGTTGTGGGTTTGAATCCACCGTAAGGCATGGATGATTGTCATTGTCTTTCTGTTTTGACTTGTCCTTTGTAGGCGAAGCCCTGTGACGGGCCGACCTCTTATCCGAATGTTACCACCTGTCGAAAGACGGCGTTGAAACGTCATATCGGAGGCTGCCTAGGTTATTCAAGGACTGTAGAGCTACTAAAAGGGGAAATTACTCTTTATCTAGTCTGCTGAGCTCTCGTATTAAAACATTTTAACATTGAAAAATTTTAAAATGGACAGTTGAATAGCCTGCGATCCAACAATCCGCAATTAAACATCAGTCGTCTGTGTGATTTTCGATGTCTTCTTCCGGTAATAAACAGCGTCGAGCGTTCTTCGAGTGCGTATTGATATTTGGTTTTGGTTTTATCTTTGGTGTTACTAAAATAACATAAAGTCATTTATACGCGGAAGGGGGGCAATAGAGCTCTTATTGTGAGTGCCTATTTGAAGAATGACGTCAGGACATCTCTTATTTGCTTATCCGTCAGAAAAGATGGAACGCACAAAGAGTAACGAACCGATGTTTTTGGTTCTACAGCCCGATTTGATCCGTGGCCTTCTGTAATAGTAAACGACACCATTTACTCAGGTGGTAAGCCTTTCCTGATGAAGGCTTAGTGAATCGTAAACTTCTGCCTACACAGAATCATACCCCAAACCCGTGACTGCAGAATAGCCAACTGTATTTGCCTTAAACCACGCGGGCAGAAGTAGGACAGCTTATTTTTATAGTTTCACATTTTAGGTCCAAGTTAAATTAAAGGTAAAGTTACTGAAACATTTAAGGACTATTGCAGACTTCGACTTATATGGAGGGGAGCTGTCAGCTTCACGCTCCTACCGCTTTACTCCACGATATTTATAGAAACGACGCTCACTTGTCTTCAGAGGTACACTCTGGAAGTCGTGGCGAAGAGAGAATTCCCTGTGTAAGATTTAAAAATTTCACGGTCAATGAATGCTATGAAATTCTCTCGGGCGATCAGCAGTGTCAGTGCTGAGTTAAAAACCAATGTTTCGGATACCTGCTGTCTCCATCATCAGGGTTAATGTGAGGAATTAAATAAAAAGTCAGCGATTTTTTTGGCGATGACTCAAGTGATATATTCAGACCTCATATTTATGCACGGGGATACGTAAAAATCACGAAACTTTGTATAATCCTCGGGTCAAAAGTCGCTGTACATAATAATGCTTGCGCTTTGTGTATGTGTGAATTTGTAATGTTTTTAAGATGGCAGATCAATCTGAATACACCATTCAACAGCGGGTAATCGCCCTTCAACTTTCCAACGCACTTTCCCACATGTGGATGGTCGTCCAGACTGCTCTGTCCTTTGCGCTACCAGCAAGACAGTTTCCTTTCGATTTTGAGACTTTCGCGGCGAGTACAATCAATAAAATCTTCTCGTGCAATCAGCAGCGTCAACTGGTTATCGTAGTAAACCGACGTTTCGGGAACCAACTCTGTCCCCATCATCAGGGTTCTGATGTGCCAGGCGACTTCCGAGGACTCCAGTCACATCAGAACCATGATGATGGGGACATAGTTGGTTCCCGAAACGTCGGTTTACTACGGCAACCAGTTGACGCTGCTGACTGTCCTAGAAGATTTTATTGAGTTTTCTGTGGAACTTAATGCTTGTCAGTTTTGAGAAGTTCGTCTGTTAAACTTATACTGGAAATCAGCTTGGAGTTCTTGTATTAAGTTATTGGTGATTCATTTATTATGATACAATGTGCTCGTGACTGATCACTATTTAATCTTGAATCCAAATTAATTTGATATCTTAGCAAGCTTCAAAATTCAGTTAAATACATAAAAACATTATTAATAATAGCGATTTTTGATACAGCCTATACACTGCAACTGGTCCACACACACTTACAGTTTTATTTTATTAATTTCTCTCTCCTGTTTTGTTGTTACTGTTTGTGACATGAATGTACACGTGCAAGATGGATTTCAGGAAAGACTGCGAAACGAAATTCTATGAACGGAAAACAACGTGTCTTGAAACAGAACACCCTTAGTTAAATTACTGTCTTTTCCTAGTTTCCACGTTAAATAGATTCCAAGGATAAGAGGTAATTTTAAATTTGTTTTTACTCTTTATTCTTAGAACTGTAGATATTTTCGGCAAACCAGGGTTCTATTCGTATTCAACTCAGGTTCCGTGTTGCATAAGTTGGTGTTCATATGGAATGCTGAGGTCAGTGAGAAAGTGTACTAAGTTGGTCTTACCCTGTGCACAAACTGTCTGGATGCTATGATAATCGTCCATAAAAACGCTGCAGTTTTATGAACGTTTTCTTAATTAAGTGAACACTTGAAGATTTCCGTCTTCTGGGTTGTTGCGCTGTGTAATCTGGTCGATGTTAACCAACGTTTCAGAGGTCATACTGCCTCCGTCATCAGAGTATGAAGATTTCTGTCTTCTGGGTTGTTGCGCTGTGTAGTCTGGTCGATGTTAACCAACGTTTCAGAGGTCATACTGCCTCCATAATCAGGGCGATGAATTCATGAATTTTGTTTTTGGTTTGAGGACTCGACGTCCTGATAATGGAGGCAGCAAGCTCCTCTGAAACGTCGTTAGGTTCTGGGAAACTTAACCTAAGAGGCGTATCTACGCAATTTTTGTTGTGAACGCGCATGGAAACTCGGTCGTAGTACTCTGATGCTTTGAGCTGAATTTGAATTCGCGATTTGAAACAAAGAAATAATTTGATGTCGCCAAGCGGTGTGTTAATTTTCTATACGGTTCTGGTAGGATTTACAATTGGATATCATCCCAGTAAATTAGAGGTTTGTAATGAATACTACAGTATATTCATAGCTGGAATAATTAAATATTCTAGCGGGGTCTGTAGTAATGCATTTGGATGGAGTTTTGTACGAGTGGAATAAATTATAATTAATATCTAGATATATTTATTCATCAGAATATGATTTACATGAAACAGAAACTGAAAAAAATCTACTGAAATATAGACTGTTACAAAAATATTTTAGACCATTTATTGGTAATTCGAATAGTTTTTCTCATTCTTTATTTTTTGTTTAATTATGTATGGGATTTCATGGGGAAGGAATTTTTATCTTTATCATTACGTATAGATACGCGAAGTCATATTAGTCTGATATCCTTTGGATATTAGGGTAAAGCGGTCGGAACGTGACTCTTAACTACACTTCTCCATTTTTTTACGTGATTTCAAAACTGTGGAGCTGTATATTCACCTCTATCTTCACGTATTTGTGGTGTGGAGTCAATGATCGGAGAAAATGGCAGATGCTATTAGGTCTACATGAACAGATTGAAGCCATGATACGTACGGTCAATTCATTGTTTATCCGCCAAATCGATTTATTTTGATGAAGGTCGATTCGAAAAGTCGTGAAATGACATTTAATAAATATAATCACTGCGGTCTAATGAATGGGCGCTGGGACTTGGGTTCAGACCACGTCTAGTTACCACTTGGCCCTTTGTTAGGTTAGGTTAGGTTAGGTTAGGTTAGGTTATGTTAGTCCAGAGTTGGAGCCGCTCTTTTCCATCACGTTGAGAATAAGTTAAAAAGTATTTTCATTCCCCCTGGACATATCTGTTGCTTGGTAAATGGGGCAGGAGAACGTAAATCGAAGTGTAGACTAAACTGCAAAATTGTATAGCCCAACTTTCAACCATTTCAGTAAATAATGACATTGAATGTATAATTTTATTCTTTAAAAATACGAGTGATATATTGCTACAACATTTAAATCAACAAACTATAACTTATTGAGTTTCCTAGAGGCACATTGTACAAAATTTAGTTTTTAAAATAAATTTACTACACAATTCGAATTAATCAAAATTTGGCTATTTTGTCAGATTATGTTATGTTTTCGGTGTAATAAAATTCTCTATAAACTATTGACTTTTGGATGAATAAATATATACTTCTGTAATCGAAATTTAACTCCGCACTCATCCGGAATGAAAATAATATTACGTTAAAGAAATGCACTCGTATTTTCATTTAATTTTTAGTTATTTAAATCGCTTGTATAGGCTTGAGTTTGTGGTTCAGTAATTTTAGCTGCAGGCATAGGTTCTGAATTCACTAAAACGCCATAATTTATGTCCTAGGGATTTTTGAAGCGGATACTGCTCACGATGTAGACTGTTCTTACGCTAAAATGATACTGTGACAAATGAGAGAATAAGAACTATCGAAGTTTAATATCGATTGTTCTGAAGTGGAGAAACGATTTTAATAAGATGTAAAGACATGACGTCGGGAACGCCATCTCCTTCCGACTCACCTTCCCTTGCTCAGAGGCCCCTTCTCTTACCGACTGCGATTGTAACCTTTCCATCGGCAGTGAAGACCAACTTAACGTCGTCATCTGTGGGCTGCAGGCCACAGCAAGGGGTAGAACCTGCGTCAGTACCAGCAAGACACACAGGGACTGTCCGCTTCGAGATCCTGGACGATGAAGTCGACATCTCGAATTTGTACAAACGCAACAGGGACTTCCCCGAACGGTGAGTAAATCAGTGGCTAGCTTCTACAATGACAAACCTCATCAATATTTATTTCAGCAGCTGTTCATGTTCTTCTTGTCTTTTTATTATTTTTTTTATTTTGCGTTTTGTCCATAAATGCATAACAACGATGTCGAGGACATTTTAATTCCTCAAAGGGATTCGAACCCATGATCATTGGGTTCGGTAGTCCAAAACTGTCTTATCTCACGATGTCTATATGATCGGACGGTTGGACATCCATGAATTATTTAATTAATGATCAACGTTTAATAGATTTTACTGTATTTCGTCTATAGTCTGTAAGAGCATGTACCAATGTATTGAGAATGTGTGTGTTTTGAGTGAGATCCATAAATTAACAGAGGAATAGAGACATTTATTTAATGAGGCGGTTCACCGTTTTGTACTCAGTTTTAATTGGATACTCTCAGATGAAGATAACACTTGTGAAAACAAGGCGTAGGTAGGAGGGTAATATTAAAAACCACATTTTTTTAAAATTTTTTTAGTTGGATTGGATTCTCAAATAACAATGCTATAAAAACAAGAACGTTCTTGATAAGATTATCTACCGACACCTCGGAATTCTACTGTTATATAGATTTATTATTTGTCTGAGCTGAGAATTGACTCTATCTTGAAGCTATGACATTATGCTGAATGCTGTCCTAAATACATCGCCTCATACTAAAAATAATCCCACTGTTGGAGCAATCTGCATGGTATTTGATATTATCGGTTTGTTGCCAGTGCATAAAGTGTGAACACTGAAAACACAAAAATGGCACGAAACACTAGAAAGCTAGAAGACGAATTTAGAACTGAGAGTCGTCTCATATTTTGATATGTCGTGTTAGAACGGCTGTGCGCCTTCGCAGATGGGCCGTTATGTTGGAAGTTGGAGTCAATTCTCCGCTCAGTCACCATGGTATGCTGTGTAGTCTCTCAGTTGTTCTGTCAAGGCTTCTCGCCTTCTCTTTTATCACTCTGCCACAGACTTCCCTTCTTCAAAATACAGAGCTCCGGATTTAAGAAAGGATACAGATCTTAAAGGCTGTCCTTTTCAATTTGTCCACCCATATGAAGCCAGATTTACGGGCGGGGGAATATAGAAATAGGGCCCTTCGTCGGGAAATGGCTAATCTAATCCCCTGACTTTTATGGAACCCGAAATTTCATTATCGTGTTCATAAGAGCCTGTCATGGTCCCTGTCCTGAGTCAGATAAATTCAACGTGTACCTACCCTCCTTGTGTCCTTAATACCTATTTTATTTACACCTTCCCTTTTATTCCTAAGCCCTCCGAATGATCTCATCCCCTAAAACTTTAAAACCAAAATTTTATGATAATTTCTTATGGCCTCCAAACGAATTTTCTGCCCAATCTCTCTCATTATCCTTGAGTTAATCGCCCTAAAAATGTTTGGCGATAAGTACGAATCACAAAGCTCCAGCTTCTCTGTATTGTTGTCAGTAGGCTTTCATGTACAGTGATAGAAAAGTCATAGAACCCTTATTAAAATAATTATTAATGGTTGCATTTTAATACAAATAAAATTGGATAAATAAACATACAATACCTCTGTAACTATTCAATAGCCCACTCAAGTCACGTCGAGTTCTAACCTACTCGCGCCAGTCTGTCAGTTATCTTTAAACAATCGAATCGCAAAGATGTCTTTTCACAAGTGCAACAAATGTCTCGTTCTTAATTAACTTGACAGAATAAGTTTAGGGACACATTTATCGATTCTCCTGTGCCAAACAAATAGACAATATATCGTACTGTGAACCTATTTGAGATTTAAAAGACGGTGAATCAAACATGTGTTTTTTTCCGATGCTTCTACTGAACTTCGAATTATGGTTGTGATACTGTATATCCTTACGAAGATTTTACCTGGGTATTCTTAGCTTCTCCAGATATTTTATCTTCAAATCATCCACGATTCTTAATCCTGGCACTCCTCTCATAGCAGTCGCCACTATATAGCCCAGTTAAAACAGAATTGTTAAATGACCCCGACATATATTCAGTCTATGAATGGTATGAGTGACTATTTATACGCGAGCAAAATATATTGCCGTCAGTTGAGGTTTTATTGAATTTATGTTTTTGTTGGTATTAAGAAGGCATCGCGTGATGGAAGTGTCAAAAATATAATAAAGTTTATCTTTGTTTATATCACGGAAATTGGCGGAACAATGCTGCAAACCTTTCCAGATAACCTGTTACGACAAATGCGTAATCTTTTATTTTGATTGTTCGCGCATGCTCGGAACTGTTCGTCTGTTTCCGCGTGTGACGTGAGCTCGAGGTACCGAAAATTACGCATGCTTTTACGTTGCCATGACTTCTATAGCATCAGCCAGTCTGGCCCGTAGCGTCAGCTTAAGGGGATGTCTGGTGGCCGCGGTTTGCGTGTGATGGTTTACAATTGTATTGTTGTGGTGTCGTACGTAAAACAAATTTTTGGTTTTTCCTTTGGTAACAACAAATAAGATGAACTGGTAGTTGTCTTGCTGGATCGGGCGGTCAACATAACCTCACTTTATCTGTTGTAAGTTATCGGATGTGGTCCAACTAGGTCGGATTTTTAATTTAGAAAAGCTGATAGTTATTCTGATGAATTTTCTGTGATTTTATAAGCCGGTGTAAAAATGAAAGATTTTGAGGCAAATTACAACGCATTACATTTAAAGGAAACACAGTTCTGCTCGAAATGAGTGTATGTTCTCAGAAGACCCACTTTCATACAAAACCCCATATGTAATAATGCCATTTTTGCTCTCAGGTCTGCTCTTGTATACGAATTTTATCGAAAAAGAAATAATATGTTTTTTCTGTACTGACAGTGTGTACAAATACTTATTAGCACTACGAAAATAATATGTAAATGCAAATACAGGAGAATGAAAGTCTTTGTAGGTGATAAATTTTTCTACATTCAACATTGGTTATTTTTAATTTTGCATCTGTATTTTTTGTGATATTGTAGTGTATCAGTTCCATACTACACAGTATCGGAAATTGAAATTCGTTTCGAAAAAGTTTTAATGTCAGCCGTTTGTAATTGCAGTTATCCGTGTTTTGTTCTATATGCAAATCGCATTTAGTTTTTAAATACCTTCAGAACCTTGAAGAAAACCTTGAAACTCTGGTTGGTCTAATCGCTATTTACCCATTAGTTTGGTGTTATAGGCTTACGCAAATTTATATGTTAATGAAGGCGTTTAAAGTTGATATGCTACTATCTATTCTTCCGTAAACCCGTTCGAAGATATAACTCTGTTCTGTTCAGCATACAATTACTTTATATATAATTACTAGTATGTATATATATATATATATATACAACGTTTAATAGATTTTACTGTATTTCGTCTATAGTCTGTAAGAGCATGTACCAATGTATTGAGAATGTGTGTGTTTTGAGTGAGATCCATAAATTAACAGAGGAATAGAGACATTTATTTAATGAGGCGGTTCACCGTTTTGTACTCAGTTTTAATTGGATACTCTCAGATGAAGATAACACTTGTGAAAACAAGGCGTAGGTAGGAGGGTAATATTAAAAACCACATTTTTTTAAATTTTTTTTAGTTGGATTGGATTCTCAAATAACAATGCTATAAAAACAAGAACGTTCTTGATAAGATTATCTACCGACACCTCGGAATTCTACTGTTATATAGATTTATTATTTGTCTGAGCTGAGAATTGACTCTATCTTGAAGCTATGACATTATGCTGAATGCTGTCCTAAATACATCGCCTCATACTAAAAATAATCCCACTGTTGGAGCAATCTGCATGGTATTTGATATTATCGGTTTGTTGCCAGTGCATAAAGTGTGAACACTGAAAACACAAAAATGGCACGAAACACTAGAAAGCTAGAAGACGAATTTAGAACTGAGAGTCGTCTCATATTTTGATATGTCGTGTTAGAACGGCTGTGCGCCTTCGCAGATGGGCCGTTATGTTGGAAGTTGGAGTCAATTCTCCGCTCAGTCACCATGGTATGCTGTGTAGTCTCTCAGTTGTTCTGTCAAGGCTTCTCGCCTTCTCTTTTATCACTCTGCCACAGACTTCCCTTCTTCAAAATACAGAGCTCCGGATTTAAGAAAGGATACAGATCTTAAAGGCTGTCCTTTTCAATTTGTCCACCCATATGAAGCCAGATTTACGGGCGGGGGAATATAGAAATAGGGCCCTTCGTCGGGAAATGGCTAATCTAATCCCCTGACTTTTATGGAACCCGAAATTTCATTATCGTGTTCATAAGAGCCTGTCATGGTCCCTGTCCTGAGTCAGATAAATTCAACGTGTACCTACCCTCCTTGTGTCCTTAATACCTATTTTATTTACACCTTCCCTTTTATTCCTAAGCCCTCCGAATGATCTCATCCCCTAAAACTTTAAAACCAAAATTTTATGATAATTTCTTATGGCCTCCAAACGAATTTTCTGCCCAATCTCTCTCATTATCCTTGAGTTAATCGCCCTAAAAATGTTTGGCGATAAGTACGAATCACAAAGCTCCAGCTTCTCTGTATTGTTGTCAGTAGGCTTTCATGTACAGTGATAGAAAAGTCATAGAACCCTTATTAAAATAATTATTAATGGTTGCATTTTAATACAAATAAAATTGGATAAATAAACATACAATACCTCTGTAACTATTCAATAGCCCACTCAAGTCACGTCGAGTTCTAACCTACTCGCGCCAGTCTGTCAGTTATCTTTAAACAATCGAATCGCAAAGATGTCTTTTCACAAGTGCAACAAATGTCTCGTTCTTAATTAACTTGACAGAATAAGTTTAGGGACACATTTATCGATTCTCCTGTGCCAAACAAATAGACAATATATCGTACTGTGAACCTATTTGAGATTTAAAAGACGGTGAATCAAACATGTGTTTTTTTCCGATGCTTCTACTGAACTTCGAATTATGGTTGTGATACTGTATATCCTTACGAAGATTTTACCT